AGCAGCCCCTAAACTAGTGCATGCCTGCTGCAGTGAAACCGGGTCCTTCTTTCAAGTGAACCGCGGAATGCTGCGCAACAAAATGAATGCGAGTGCCTCAAAAGGCCCTGCCTGCCAAAATGCCGATGGGCAACACTGTGGTTGTTACTGGTGGGTGTCAATCCCCCCATCAGTTCCATCGACTGCTCAGACGGTGCCGGGTGCCACAGCCCGGCTTTCATGGGTGGCTTAGGCCCCCATCCTCAGCAAAGTGCAGTGGTGCCAAGATACACATCTGAAACTACTACCTGCCTTTTTCCATCTGTGCAAGAACAAGATCTACAAATTCAATGCTGTCTTCATTCTTGGGCCTGGGTAGCCTCCGACTCGCAAAGAACCAACATCTCATTTTTACAGGGTCTGACCAAACACGCAAAAGCTACAACTGCAGCAATAGACTGATAAGATTAGAGAGAAGAGAATGGTATCAGCGCATTCACATGGAATGGAATCCCCACCCCAGAAAAAGCATGTGGCTATCCCAGCCAGGGCAGCACGGGTGCTGGTTTGTTACCCAATCACCAAGCTGTTTGGCCAATCTGAGACCCCCACTGTGGGGGAGCAGCCTGGCATGGGTTTCAAATGCCGGAGGGGGACCTCTACGGCCGTAGTACAAGGGCTGAGGCTAAGAATGTTTGCGAATCACCCGGATAGCTAATTCAAGTGATGAGTTGCAAGCATAGCTTCAGCAAAAATGCGATTTCATTCTCCTTTTCACTCTCAAACTTGGTTTTGTCATGAAATACTTCCCTCCATCTTGAACTAAAACAGCGAATCCGTTTGAAGTCCACGGACTGGCTCCAAATGAAAACTTGCCAAGGAAACGTCCATAGCGTCCTCTGGCGCTTCCATTAAGGATGACCTTGGTGGGTGTTCGGAGTCAAAGGTTCACAGGCCCAAACGTCTGTCTCTGTGTGCGTATATGGAAGCTTTTGCTAGGTTCCATGTCGCACGCGAAAAACTTTAACAACCATCTATCAGAATCTATCAAAATGCAAGGTCTGGTTCCTAGCATGTAGCTCCATGGGATGTTGGTTGCAGTGCCAGGCACTTGGAAATGATCCGCTTGTGATTCAAGTAGGGGACGTCAGTGAACTGGTGCCCCTACAAGTGAACCCAGGTACCCTGTCGCATTGACTCTCCCAACCAGCAACAGAAACGATCACCGAGGGAACGACTTCACGTACGCCGGTGGTGTCGACATGATCTTCTGAGATGCCTCACCCAGGCCCCAGGCTTGGTTTGCCAAGAAGCGAAGGGATCCAAAGTGGGGATGGAACACAATGTACTTGTGATGTATTGTGATTGTGTTTCTAGCAGACTTTAGTCACTTTAGTCATGTAACAAGCCACTTGCCAACGGCTGCTTGCTTTCAGGGCCCTGAAAGTAGAAGCACAGAAACCTGTCTGGGAAGTGCTCAGTGAACATGTTCTTCGTTGCTTGTAGCCAAGTTTGAAGCTTAGCAAATTTCATGATTGGAGAGACAGAGAGACAACTTTCAAACCGTTCACAAATCGTGGACCTTTGAATCGTGCGCAGTGCGCCTCCTTGAGTTCATCAGAAGTGAGGAGAGACATCCACGCATTGCCTCAGTTCCATTCCGCGCTGAGGCCCAACTTACCAAGTCTTACCAAGTCTTGCCAAGCCTTGCCAGCAATCACTGCCCAACCCTTTCACGCAAGCAAAGATTTCACACGTGGAAATAAAATCTCCCCGATTGACTCATGAATTGCAGCTTGGTCAACTCTGGACAGAATACATCTTGAGAGTCTCTTGGACATCTGTCTCACAGCAAACCGGCAAGAAGAGAGCAGCAAAGTGCAGCAAGCCTCTCGGGCAAATAACCTATATACTAAGTAAGACCTACTAGCAATAGTTTGGTGAGACTATTCAGACTATTCATGTTGTTTTGCAGCGCTTCTTCGGCTTCTTGTTCATGCAGCTGTGCAAAAACTGCTCCATGGGAACCAAGACCTGCCTGTCTAGGGAGAGAGAAAAAAAAAATCTCAACCACTACGCCAGGGAGAGAAGTTTGTTTAAACAAATAGGTCTGATGTGGAAAAATAAGCCAGGCTACTAATCTATTCATGTAAGGCTGGAGCAACCTGAATATGTTCCATCACGAGTCAATATGCGTCACTGTGTTTCACCTTCAAATGAGCTTCCTTGGCCTCAAAAGTTTGGATACTCTGAAAACCAAATGTGCAATGACTGAACAAGTCACGCTTATTTTACAAGTGCACAAATACAATGACTTCTGACAGGATCCAGCAAATTGGATGCTATGCTATGCGAACGAAGTCAAAATGTTGCAAGACCCATGCTGTTGCTATCATGGATGAAGAGGTTTCTTGCATTTAAATGGCTCAAATTCAGATAGCTCAGCAATGAAAGGTGAATCCGCGAGCTACGGGTCAGACATGAAAAGGAACCAGTGTTCACCTATTGGGATGTGATTAACCTTTGCTTGCTACCTGACTTTATCTACGGTTGGCACCTCAAGAATCTCAAACGGGCATGAAACTGCAGGGAAAACCCCGTCACCATCTGCAGTTCTCCACGGCAACCACCTGACATCTGTTCTGTCATCTTAGAGCTTGGCCATGTCCGTTCATTCCGTTCATGCCGTTCATCAAGCCAGGTGCCTCAAGTTCGTGCGAACCAACAACAGATATTTCCAATGCCCAGCTAGCTTGGAGTTCTAACTCTGAAGTGCTGAAGCATCTTGCGTTCCACATTTTGGGTTTATTCATGCTTATTCTAAAACAAACTGGTCATGTGCTCGGGGACAAAACACTTGCCCCACTCTGCAGTTTGAGAACGCAGCGCCAACCTTCAAAATTATCAATATTAATCAGCTCTTGCCATCAACTTGACACGCACCACATTGAGGTAGGAAGAGGCTACAAAGGCTAATGATAATGGCACGTATGGGCATGAAGGTTGCCAATGCAAGAATCCAAGAGTTTGCACAGTGGTTTGCTGGCATGTACGAAGATCTTGGGAACCTGTGAAAACAATGACAAACATTCGACGACCGTTGCAGTATCTTACAATCAAACCGCTCGGCTCTTGCTGCGGATGCAGGACGTCTTGCCCTCGGGATGCTGGGATGCTGACTCCATTTGAGACTTTTGGCAATGGACCTGAGGGTTTCCAGACACGTGCTCGGCCACACAAGAACCATCAAGAACCATGTCGCTTCGGAACGAAACAATGCAGGCAAAGAATGCACGGAATGTAGGCTTGCCTTGCCATTTGGCCTCATCGCATGGCTTGGTATCCACTGAGAGTGCAGCTGCTCTCCTTCTTTGATCCGTTCTTCTGCTTCTCCTGCGACTTCGCACGAAAATCACACATGCTCTGTACTCAGGATTCTTGACTTCGGGCCCTACCCTCAAACCTTCAAAATTTCGGCTCGAAATGGGCAACTGCAACGCCTCAAAAAATCACACAAACAATCGACCCTTCCAGTATCAACCCTTCGAATCAAAAGGGGAAGAAAACAAACTCTAGACAAGTTATTGCCAGACGATTCTGCTATGTTCTGATATTTGGACATACAAGGCCCTCAAACGAGTTGCAGATAATCATATGATATCATTCTTGTTTTCAATCTTCACAGACTAAACACAGACTAAAGACCAAAGTCTGTGCCTTCCGTGTCCACGTCTCCTTGGCCGCCTTTGCTGCGGCGTCTGGGCGGAAGATTGGACGCTTCTCTGGATCCTGCTCATGCAGAACCTCAGTGTGGCTACCAACAAATGACCGGGTGATCACAATGTCGAATAGTATATGAATATGTTATTATATATCTATGTATCTGTATTCTGTGTATATATATAGTATACAGTACATATGTACACATATGTGCCATGGTCCAAAGATGGTATATGGTTTATGGTCATAACATAATGAGAATCCATCCCCTAATATGGGTACATAATCCATCTATTATTTTGAACATGGCACATATCATTTGAAAACAATGAAAACACAGCAAAGGTTTGTGTGTGTGCGCCACAAATCTCATGTATCACTCTGGAATCTTCTCTGACATGCTGGAACAGAAACAAACACGAAGGGTCATTTCCATGTTCAAAGAAGGCCATCCTCACTTTAGGATACTTTAGATGTGAAGGAATGCATTACTCTAAATTGCATCTACTCCACGAAACATCTAAAGGTTCCCTAGCGCTCTCTGCTCACAGCCCAACACAATGAGCATCCCACGGCGGAGCTGCTGAAGTGCTCCACCAACTCCTGGAGTCTTTCGCAACCGTTGAAATCGGCGAGTTTTGCATTGGGGTTGCTAATTGGATACAATAAGGATCAATAAGGATTCATGAAATTCAGATTAGTACAAAGTTTATCTCCAGCTTGTCAGCTCAGGGGCCCAACAGGTACCGTACTACAGACCAGCACTTCAACATCTTGAAATGCAAGGCGCTCCAGAGAGCGTGCAGATTTCCCAGAATGTGCTGAGCTTTATCCTCCCTGGTGTCTAGTGGGCTTCAACACGGTATAAGCATCAACGCACAATGATCGTGTCAGCTCCCACTTGTTTCCTCCTTTTCCTCTGTTTTCTTCTTTGCAAACGGCCAGAGCTAGCATGAGTGCAAGAGCCTTTGTATGTGCCAACCTGATGTGAATGCGAAACTCGAACTAGAATTTCCAATGCCGCTAAAGAAGGGTTCCAGCAAGCCATCAGTGTTTTCCTCGTGCCCCTGGAACCGGGCATAGCTCACACCAGGTGCCTGGAAGGCAGTTCACGAAGCTAGCCGAACAGACTCGAGGACGTTGACAACCAAAATAGACTAAATTGTAAGAATGAAAAGAGAGACTAGTACTACCTGTACTAGTACTACATGTACTACCTGCACTATTTGTACTACTTGTAATGCTTGTACTACTTATACTTGTGCAAGTCACCATTCAAGTGTCAGGAGGCACCCTCCTGACACATCCACAATGCCTTTCTGGCATCACATAACTTCCATGGCTGAGGTGAATCATAGGAGCTTTCTGGTCGCCATCGGCGACCAACGGCGATACCCATGCACTCCATGCACCTTGGTCTGGGACTTGCTCATGACCTCGCGCCAAGCTCCGTTCTTCACCTAAAAATCGTTGTTCCGTGAAGGTCAGATAGTAGCCAAGCAACAATGGTTTCTACATCAACTATTCAATTTAACTACTGGTAGCCTCCTGATCCGGATCTCTGGCGACGCCACAGAAATGTAGACTTTCAACTTGAACAACACATCTGGCATCTTTTTCATAGAATTCCGTTGGGTTCAACAGCCCCCGAAAAAACTGCAGTTTTTGATTCCTCAAGCCTGTCTTGAAACCATCAAAGTAGTTGTCTCATATACATCGTTACTGTGGACATACATGTACATATATATATATATATACACGTACATACATCATGTAGATATGTGTGTATGTGTATATATATATATGTGTACAAATATAAGGGAGTCTGTCTACATCACGCGCATGACACAGCAATACACGATCATGCACTACATTGTGCCGATACAAACAGCGCCATTTTTTAGCTCGGGGCCATAACAAAGAGTTTGTGAACGTCCTTGGCAAAAAATCACTGCATTCTCCGGAAGCTGTTCACATCCCTGTCGTGACTGTGGCAAAAAACTGGTGTGCCTTTAGTCCCTTTCACTATCGCACCCTGTAATATTATTCTAAAGCCATAAAACGATCTAAAACGATCAACTGCCCAATCCCAACTACCCAGTCTCTCTCGGCGTCATTGATGTGAAACGTTCCGAACCCTTTGATGAAATGGTAAAAGAAGGCTGGGCATGACTTCCTCTTGAAGTTCCAGATTGAATATACATCTTAGAACAGCTGACTGACAGGAAAGTGTTTAAGCCATGTGTGTGCTGTTTTTGGGTATCTCAAAAGAGATTTGCCAGGCCACAAGTGGAGAGATGAAGTTCACGAAGGCAAAGCCCGCCAGCACGTTCCGGTGCTCCTTCAATTTCATCTGGTTTTTCCCAACGGCACCACACAAGTTTTGGACCAAAATGCTGAGCCGCGTTGCATCTTAAAAGGAATCAACAATAAGTCCATAAATCATGGCACAAGTGTGATTCATCTTTCAGTCTCAGCTGCTTTTTAACTTGTCCTTGGCGAAAGGCATCATTCCTAGTGACTGCCCGGCCTTGCAAGGCATGTAGAAGAAGGTGAAGCCTGGGGCTGGGCTGTCCAGGCCAATCCCACGGTCTAACACAAGGCTTCCCATAATGAATCTTCTTTTCAGCGGTTCTAAAAGAAAAGCAATTTCTCGTGAAAAGTTGGAATTCTAATCAATAGCAAGCACCACATCAAGTCTATGAATCATGAGTTGTCATGAATCAGCTTGGCATTGAGCTCTGAAGCTACATGAAGCCAAAGGGAATGTATGACACTTCTTAGATAGGAAGCGCTTGTGTCCTGCCGGTCCCTTGAGGCCAAAGCGATCAGAAAGGCCAAACTTTTCCATGAGATTCAGGAACTCCTCTCAAGCTCTGCAAAGTTTGATGCTGAACCGGACTAGGCTGCTGCAGTCTGCACCGGAAAGTATGTTGGGGCTCAATTCTGCAGGGATTCAAGCTATCCTATCCTTTATCCAGTACATGTATATGTATATGTGGATGTATATAATTATACGTACGTATAATGATATGATATGATATGTATACATAGCATACGCTTGCATGTCTCATTCTATTCCATGTGCCGGACCGTGGGGACCTTTGAAAGTGAGGCAAACAGCAATGCAAAGGACATCAGATAGGGGCGACGATCATAAACTTATTATTGTACACAAATAAAGATAAACCTAAGCAAAGCTCTGCAAGTACCAATGCCTAGAGTGACAACGCTCAAAGTTCAGCCCAGAATCGGGGGCTCCTTGCGAGCGTTGTTCCCTGCAACATTTCTTACCATCACGGTAGTGCGGGAGTCTTCTCCGCGCTCGATCCTATCATTGGAATCCAGAAGCTGTGTTGAATTGAAGTTCCAGGCTGAACTGCTTCGATGAATCTTGCAGAAAATCTGCATATAGCGAACTAGCGAGCCCATCTTCACACACCAGTTTAGATCCTGACTTTGCTACTTTGATTTATGGCGATCATGTCCCACCCTCAGATCGAAACATGAAAGTCTCTCCACTTCCACACACGAGGAATTGCTTCATGAGCGTCAAGCAAGGTGGATTGGGCTCTCCGACAGTTCTGCTTGTTTCGAAACATAGAATGAGTCTCGCGTTGTCTCATCTTTGGGGTCGTAGTTCAGCAACTTTTGGTACTTCATCCCTCCAAGTACATATATTATATACTGTATATATTATATATATACATATAGAGAGAGAGAGAGACAACATAAGTATATCTTTCTAAGTTCAAAAAAACTCCCTGATCACAATCGACCAATCCTCTCTGGATCAATGTCGTATTTCGAGAACTCTTTGGTGCTGACCTGCCGTGTACAAGGCGATATTCCAATTGCAGCCCCATAACCCAACTAGTCGGGGTGTAATACACTACGTCTATGTCATGTATATCAATATGTATATATGCAATGTTTGATGTACATGTATTTATATATATATATATACATATATATATACATACACACATATTATTGATCACATTGCTATCTCATGTGTTTCAGCATTTCTTGTTGCCGTCCAGTGTTGAAGTTTTTGAGACACTTTCAGACTGAGAAACCTTTCAAGAAGCAAGTTGAACCTCAACCATCAACATCATGGCACTTCATAGCTGGCCTTTGTCCTTAACGGACGATTGCCGCGCTCACCCTTCTTGTCATCGGCCTGCAACACAGCATCGATAGATGAGGCATCGGCACATTCCTATGTTTGCTCGTGAATCTCAAATTTCATTTCACCTGTGCTGCTCTGAAAGCACCAAGCAGCCTGGCAGCCTAAGATCTCTCTGGTCTCTCTGGGTGTCCCAACTTGTGGTGACTCAACAGTTGCAATCTCCTGCGCTCCGTTAACTGCTGTCCTAGTCTTGGACCTGCCTCTGGTTCACAAAAACCCTGATTGAGTCCAGTTCAGTTATGGTCAATTATATATCTTCAATGTCAATCTAACACGCTTGTCTACTTGGCACAGTTTGAATTATTTTGAATTGTAGATTTAGATTGCATGACGAATCAATGGTGCAGTGCGCAAGTGAATCTAATTATGTTTGTTTGAAGTGAGTTCATGACATTGCCAAGGACGCAATCCAAATTGAGTAATCCTGTAACTTCACGCAGTTGTGCTATTGAGGTAGAAAGGGCTTGCGCGCACTTCTTGGCTGGGGTTCTTCTCAGACTACAAGTGCCAGAAATTCTGGGAAGCAGCGGGCCAGGCAAGTTCGCAAGGGTCCTGTCCAATCTGTCCCTCCATACCATTCATCACATTCTGGAAGCCCAGCATACCTGGCCACACTGCAACTTGGTGAGGGCTGCAGCACCCTGTGTCGCCCATTGCCTCCAACATCTGCATTTCCAAGAGGCCTCGCATGAAAATCATGGACCCGAAAAGGCCGTCCGAAACCAACAAGAGAAGAGGATATTAGAAAACACTTGTCCAGTTCTCGTCGGTCAGCCTTCGGGAGTACAGTAAGATTCAAGTTTCCCAGATTTAAGTTGGATTGCGTGGTCAAACAAAAAGGAGACCCAGAGCAAGTTCATCAGAAAAGCTGTTCAATTAGACCTCTCAGTGCTCAATTGCCGCCTTTGCTTTCAATGCTACTGAATTCTGAATAAATTGAAACTCACAGTCCGCACTGAATGCCATATCAAAGCAAAATCTCCAAGTCTTAAGGCTGTGGCCACTGACCTGCTCCCATGGATGCGAGCATAGCAGACGAAGAATTTGTTTGATCCTTGGCAGACAGCTCGCTCCCAATTGATGCGACTTGCCCGGAAGTGCGTGACAGAGTCCTCAAGTCCCAGTTCGAAACCAACAGCGACCTGTGATGCTAGTATTCAGAGAAATCCGCCGACCCCTGCCGACAGCAGGGGGAGCGCGTCAGAGGAGGAATTACCAGCAGCAAGGGCCAAGAAGTCATTACAAGCAGCAAGGGCAAGAAGCAAGAAAACATGAAAGAAGAAGCAAGAAGCAAGAAGCAATTACAGGCAACAAGCGGCAAGAAGCAAGAAACAAGAAGCCAGGAAGCAACAAACGGCTGGAAGACAGGTCAGAGAAGTCATTACAAACAGCAAGGGCAAGAAGGAAGAAAACAAGAAAGAAGAAGCAAGAAGCAATTACAGGCAACAAGCGGCAAGAAGCAAGAAACAAGAAGCCAGGAAGCAACAAGCGGCTGGAAGACAGGTCAGAGAAGCAAGAAACAACAAGCCAGGAAGCAACAAGCGGCTGGAAGACAGGTCAGAGAAGCAAGAAACAAGAAGCCAGGAAGCAACAAGCGGCTGGAAGACAGGTCAGAGAGCTAGTTTTCTTGTCGATTCAAAAAGCAACGTTAGGCAGGCGGCTGGAAGACAGGTCAGAGAAGCAAGAAACAAGAAGCCAGGAAGCAACAAGCGGCTGGAAGACAGGTCAGAGAGCTAGTTTTCTTGTCGATTCAGAAAGCAACGTTAGGCAGGCGGCTGGAAGACAGCTCAGAGAGCTAGTTTTCTTGTAGGTTCAGAAAGCAACGTTAGGCACTGGGAGCCGTTGCCCGGAGGCTCGGTCCGTCCTTCAGGGCCCTGCTGTTTTGCTGTGGCGGAGGCGCCGTTTGTGAGCCTTGACGGCTGGAAGAAAGCTAGTTTTCTTGTAGGTTCTAGGTTCAGAAGGCAACGTTAGGCACTGGGAGCCGTTGCCCGGAGGCTCGGTCCGTCCTTCAGGGCCCTGCTGTTTTGCTGTGGCGAAGGCGCCGTTTGTGAGCCTTGACGGCTGGAAGAGAGCTAGTTTTCTTGTAGGTTCAGAAGGCAACGTTAGGCC